AGAGAGAGAGAGAGAGAGAGAGAGAGAGAGAGAGAGAGAGAGAGAGAGAGAGAGAATGTGCGATGAGCAATAGCTGTGGACCTTACAGTTGCTGCTAACTGCCCTGGCGTGTGTGAGGGAGAGAGAGAGGGAGGGAGGGAGAGAGAGAGCGCGCGCTAGCGCGAGAGAGCGAGTGAGCAAGCGAGCAGAAAAGAGGTGGAGAGGGGGGGAATAAGAAAGAGAGAGGAGGAAAGGAGAGAAGGCAGGAAGAAGGCAAGGGACGATACAACCATGCTGTGCTGTATGAGAAGAACCAAACAGGTAGAGCTAAAGATTTTTACTTCTTGCTGTTGTGAAATTAGCAGAGTAAAAGATTTCCCTGTAAAGGCAGAAAAGCGTATTTTAACTGCTTCTGCTCTGGCATGGTGCTCGCGTTTCCTTAGCATATGGTAACTGGTGATTGCATCCCAGCTTTTATTCTTTTCTGTCTTTCAAGCTCTGGTTTAGGAATGCTGCTACTAATTAGGACGAGGGTAGGGAAAACATGCCCAGACAGCAATATGATTTCTTTTTTTCTCTCTATTAGTAAATGTTCAGCCTTTTAGGTCTGGTTTTGAGGGTGTGGATGTGGAAAGGGGTGTGGGGAAGATACAGGCTCTACCTACAAGACAGAGGGGGTGATCCGTTATTTTATTTGCAAAAATCTGGGGTGAAGGAAAAATGTTCGGGGTTGGTTATTGCCTGTTCTATAGTGCAATTTTCTCTCATGTGCTGCGGAAGATGCCTCATTTGACACATACATGTGCTTTAAAGGGGCACAGGTATTTATGGGGAAACGTGAATATTTTATTTATTTTTCAATGAATGAATGAAATTGTGCTTTAGGAAAAAAATTAAAAGAAAACCTAAAGATATCTGGGACCAGGGGAGGAATTGGGGCTGGAGAAGGGGAAAAACCCCCTTCTTTAGATCAGTAGCCGATTGTGCACCAGCTGGTCGGAGGAGACGGTGGACCACGCCCCTAGGAGCTTTGAGCTCCGATGGGATGGGAAAGGCGAGCCAGGTATTACCTGTTGGAAATCAGGTCTTTTCTCTGTTCTTCTTGCCTTCCTTCTTCCTTGGATTACCAGGGACCAGAGACACGCGAGCCTCCTGGATGATAAACGTGGTGACTCATTTCCATCAGGAAAAGGGGCACATACAGGATTCGCCAGAATCTGAACCCCCACTTTCCCTCCCCCACCGCCTAGATTTTTTTTTCCCATTTCAAATTGCTCACTTATTTCCTGAAAGAAATTTTAGAAACTTGATTAGGGTGAGGGTGGGGAGGAATGACGAGTTCCGTATCCGCAGTACTGTCATCCAGTGCCCTGACATCCTCGCAGAGAAGCTTTCAAACATTTGTTGGAACACGTTTCAGTGATTTGCTGAAGGTTAAGGAGAAAAATGGGTGTGGGCTATGGGTGAGTGTGTGCCTCTGTGTGTGTGTGTGTGTGTGTGTGTGTGTGTGTGTGTGCCTGCCTTTAGCAAAGTGGTGGTGGGGGCAATCTTGGTCAAAGAAGCCCTTTACAGATTGTTTGTGTTAGATGTGGGGTGCAAGAGATCAGATTTTGGTATTATTTCTGTGCAGGTATTGGAAATTGGGCAATTTGCAATACACTCCCTGAATCTGAAGGGGGTGGAGAAGAGTGGAGAGGAAACATTTGCCTGCCAGCCTTGCACGTTTAGCCAGCGCCCAGGTGGAGGGGTGGAGTGAGAATGAAGGAGAAGGAAGAAACACAGAAGCAGAAAGTCAGAACAGTGGGTGGAGGGGTGAATAAATGAATGAGCGCATCCATGAAATAGGGGACACCCTTGGGTGCATGGAGGTGGTTGGAGAAAAGTCGGTGTTGGGTGGGGGTGCTGTTTGCAACCTTTCCCCAAATTGCTCTTGGTTCCAGAGATGCTTCCATTGGGTCATTTCTGAAATTAGGACATTTCCTCTCCTTGTCTCCCTTCATTATAATATATAAATGTAATAGATACAGGTGTCTAGGTTAAGCACATTGGCAAAGAGAGGCTCTAAGGTTTTGTCCTTGGTGAGCTGGGGAAATAAAATCTAGGAAGGCAGAAGCCTAAGGAATCAGTGCTATTGATTAAAAGAAGCTTTAATTTTGGAAAGAAAAATATGCTGGTTTACAACTTGTTTCCACACTACTTGTACACATGGAAGTGTACATATACCTCATTTGATAAAGGAATCTGTCTATGCTTTTTACAAAGGGAATTGGAGCTGAAGGAATTCCCCTCTCAAATGAGGACATCTGCCTTCACTAAGGTTCCTTCTCCCCAGCAGCTTGCAGCTTTTTCTGCGGTGTGCAATGTGATAAAGAGAAAAATGTGCCTAGGAGATTGTAGAGTCACATGTGAATGTATAGCTGCCCCATATGTCACATGCAGCATTCAGGCATGTACTGTATATGCTTATCACATGCCTTCCAGTGTTGTAACGTCATCCACATGCAAAGGAGAAGACAAAACCTATAAAAATGGTCCTTTGAGCCCATACATTCCGCAGATGTGAGCTTATGTGTGAAATGGTCAGGCCTCCTATGTAGCAGTATTATATATTATTCACATTAATCAGCATGTAAGATATTATAAAACCAGGCAGAAGGAATGGTGTATTTAGGGCGTGGGCTCATACTACTGACTGGCATTTACAGAGTGTGAATACTTAAGTCTCCCACAGGTTTCCTGCTTGTGGGTGAAATGATGCTCTCATTCTTGGCAGAATCCGATTTGTCCATCCTTTTGGCATCTATTTATCATCTTAGTTCTTGGCAGGAAATAAAACAGGGCAGAAATCTGCAAAGGTCTAAACTCTGCCACACCCATGAAATCCAGCAGAAACGTGGAAGGGGGCTGGAGGACTTGCACTTCCTTCCTCTTCCACTTGAGCAGCATAAAGAAGGGAGCTGGGATTTCTAAGTTGTAATACATTGCCAGTGGGTGAGATGAAAGCACAAATGATCTGTGTTAACCATTAATTACTACCTAAGATTATTTTAGCAGGAAGAAGAAAATCAAAGTAGCATTAAGATGAGAAGATGGTAAAAGAGTAGTCAAAGGAGCAATAAAACAAAAGAAGCATTGAGATTTTATTGGCTTAAGATTTTCAAATATCTTGGGGATAACTTTAAATAGCTTGCTTTCTGCACTCATTGCAGATGATTAAAAACTCACAAAGTGTGAAGTGTGTCTACAAAACAAGAAAACTGTAAGATGCTTCTTTTGTTTAAAAATAGTGACTTTAATTTGTAATTGAAGTATGAAGAATACCCTGTGAGCAGGTGGCCCCCTAACTCTGCTAACTTCTGCCTATCTCTTCATATAATAAATAATATTTCTCTTGGATAGTGTGACCTGTGGTTTGGAATTGCACCTTGCTCTGCCTTCCCCTTGAAGCCTGCGGAAGCTGTAGAGGGATGCAGCCTCGTTTCTTGGTGCAGGCTATTCTTCCTGGTAATAAATTGGATTCCTACTAAATCTCTTTGAGCCACACCCAGTGTCACCCAGGGACTTCTTGAATTAATTAAATGAAGAAATTCTAGTTAATAGAATTGAAGTTGCTCATTTAAAAAAAATACTGGCATTTGCCACACATTTCCAAATTTAAACAGAAAGAATTATTGAAAGGCATGGTTATTTTCTTCTGCCCAATTATTGGATTTGCTGAAAATCTTAGAAAATTCATAGTGATCCTGAAACATGTTGATGTCTGGTGACTTCTAATTCCAGGATGCATGCAAAATGAGCCCTGATCACTCCTGCTGAGAAGCTGTGCAACTCTGGTCCCACCCCCAGCCCCACCCCACCCCCACCCCCAACCGGGCTGAGGCAGCTGGAATAAGAAATCACAGGGTTAATTTTCTTTTTTGCTGAACCGGCAAAACTACAGAAACCTCCTTTGATGCTTCCTGCTAAAGGGCAGGGCTCCTGATCATCAAGAGGGAGCATCAGAAAGGGTCTCCTTTGCCTCCATCACAGTGAAATTGTCAGTACTGTGCCTGGGGCTGAATTAATCCACAGACTTCAGAGTTTTCCTTGGCCAGCCCTATCAGGAAAGAGTGGAGGTTCTTGCAGGCAGTAGTGCAGCATACATATTAACCCAATGTTCCCCTTGTTCACAGTGATAAAGTAAAACATCTCTAAAATCTTCACACATTTAGTTTGAAGAATGCACAGAATAAGTTCATCCCAAGAGAAGGTCTAACATTTAACTCTTTGCTTCCCTATTAGTTGTAATGGGAGCCTTAGGATAACCAAGCAGTGTTTGCCATAAACCAAAGAAGTTGACTGTGTGCAAGAATTCTCCCTTTTGCATTTCTGAAGTGTGGTCATGTTGTCTCTGCATTGTTGTAATTAAGCCTGCATTATGTTCTCCGAAGTATTGGCTAGAGCACTATGCTGTGAGTCCTTAATTGATGTCACTTACTGATTCAGTGATCTTGAATGAATCATACCGTAGTCTTGGGCTTCAGTTTCCTCCTGCCAAATGTAACTGAAAAAGAAACCCAGCCCCTCAAACAAACAGCAAACCCCACCCTGCTTGCCTTAAAGAATTTTTATGATGTGAAAATGCTCAATACAATTATAAGAAAATTTTCTCCAAGTTTTGCACTGTGAGGCTTGACAAATCACCAGTTTTTCCTAAGTGACACTTGCCTACCTTGACTCTGGTTCTCTGTTAGACACACTTGTTTGTTCCTCTAGGCTTTTTCCAGAGCCTCATGCTCTCATGCCCTGCTCTTTATTGGCATTTCTTCCTCTCCTGTGATGCAAGCTCCTTTTCCACAGACCTATAAATATGCTCTGGCCTCTTCTTTCTTGAAGCATCTTCTGGATCCACACCTTTTCCTATGTAGTATTCTGCTTCACCCTCTTCGTAGAACAAAGTTCCTAACAGTGAACCACACTCAACTTTTCCTCTTCTCTATTCTTCATTTACTACTCCATACTCATAATTCCTTTGAAATCTTTTCAGAAAGGGGTATGGCAGTCAATTGCCCTTTATCTTCCGTCTTGTCTGATATTCTTTGGTGTTTGATAATGTTTCTCATTCCCTTCCATAAACTCTTCACTGCGTTCCCTTCATGGTTCTCATTTTCTTTCCCCTTAGACAGGACCTTTCAGTCTTCTTTATCTATTTCCTTTCATGCCGTCCTCACAGTCTTCCCTCCAAACATAACTGATCTCTTGGTCCAAAGTCTTAATCCATCCTTCCTGTCACTAATCCTAGATGATCTCATTGTTGTCCAGAACTTTAACCACCCATGTGA